GGGAGCATAGGAAAAAGTGGATCAGGGAGTAGAGAAATCAAGAAGTGGAATGGCAATAAATGCTGTTTGCAATTTTTCTTAGGTCCAATGGACAGCCGCTGTCAGTGACTATCTTAGCAGTACCTGAGTTAAGCTATCAAGGTTAGTTTGGGAAACTTCAAACCCTAGCATCACCCTGCTTGACTTAGCTTTACTATTTCAGGCTACTCTTACCTTTCTACTTCATCAGTGGTATCTCTCCATCTAGTCTTTCCAATCATGCCAGGAAGAAGAGGAAATATAGATGTGTCTCCCTGCCTTCTCAGCCTTCCTCTTGACTATAAATTTAATCTACTACAGTGTTTTCACTGTTCGGTGGATCTATTTAACATCTTTCCAAGAATGCCAACATCAGTCTGCCATGTTGACCTTTCTGTCCATGGAGCCAGGTCCATGTTGGTTCAGGATATTCACTCGGTCCCTGCCCTTTCATATGCCATTACATTACCTTGCATGGGACAGAACTAGATCTCACAAATTTATCCTCTGGCACCGAGGTCAGTAAATGATCATCTGAACCAATTGTTGGAGCACTGTACATGTTTCGTTATTGTAACTTTTGTTTTTATTTTCTTTTGCACTTCTCCTTTTCTGCTTGCTTGTTTACTTTCCCCCTTTCTTCTCTTTTACTGTGACTTAATCCAAGGCTATAACCATGGCTTTCTCACATTGATGATAATCAATATGGAGTTGTTGCTGATAGCTAGTCTAGAAATCTTTAGATGGCACCTTGCATGACATTCCACCCATTCAGTTTTACAAAATCTTTTGAAGCTAAAGTTTGTGTTTTTGGCCTTGGTTTCTTGATAAAGTTAATGGAGGCATAGCCTATCTATCTATCTATCTATCTATCTATCTATCTATCTATCTATCTATCATCTATCTATCTAAATTTTATTTGCAGATAGGGAATACCATTGGAAAAATTATTCACTCTTATGCTTAATGTATAGAATGTTAGGGTTTATGGCCAGCCGAGTGGCTCAGTTGGTTAAGAGCTCACTCAAGAGTTCGGGCTCTGAGCAACAGCAGTTCAAGTCCTGTCCGGAGCTGAGCTGCCAACAGGTGGCAAGATGGCTCAGCTAAAAAAAAAAAAAGAGGCAAGATGGCTCAGCTAAAAAAAAAAAAAGAGGGCCGGCTGAGTGGCGCGATGGTTAAGAAGTGGCTTGGGACGCCAGAGGGCCCCGGTTCGGATCCCACATATGAGGGCCAGTGACACTGCCCTCCACAGTTAAGATGGTGAACAACAGTTCAACCTGGAGCTGGGCTGCCGTGAGTTGCCAGCGACGGTGTAGGCTGCAGCCCCTGTGGCAGTGGGTTGCCATGGGCTACTGTATATAGCCAGCAGCCAGCGTGAGGGCCAGCAGCCGCAGTGAGCGGCCATCCAGAAGCCGATGACTGATCTGCCTCACCCGGGAAGAGCGCAATGATGGTGCCAACTTGGGCCAGTGAAGCAACATCCTCCACAACTAGATTGAAGAACAAAAGGACAGCAACTTGTCTGTTCTCCTTTCCCCAATTCCCCAGCACTGTTCCCATCCCCCAATTCCCCATTAAAAACCTTAAAAAAAAAAAAAAGAATGTTAGGGTTTAAAAGTCTGAATTTATCCTTAAACTATTGAAAAGGACTTAGTCCAAAGCAGTATAGAAGAGGGCTGGAAGCTATAACTTATGCTGTGTATTAAACACTAGTATAATGTTTTTAGGGAACTCTTTTTGGATGTTTTTGAATTTAGGACATGAGCAATTTGAAAAGACTGAAAATACTTTTCATTTTTAAAATAAATAGAGTTATTTCCCTATCTGCAAAGATGGGGAATTAAATGGGTAAAACATTTTAACATTCTAGCTTTTGCTTTATTCACATTATCATAGACCGACATGAAAAATTCTTGGCTGTTATTCTCTATTTTCTGTGGTATTGGAATACCTTAGATAGAATCAAATCCAGATAATCTAAAAACCTTATTTTTTTGTTTATAGCTTAAGCCCGTTCCCAACCAAATCTTTTAATTTATCAAGATTTATAGTAAATAATAAAATTTTAAATTGATTTTCTTCAATAGAAAGTGAGTCAATAAGCAGTTAAGTAGCCACAAGATAACAGTAGAAGAGAAAAATAGAACCAAAGTGCTTGAATAACCTAACCTACATAACTGAGAATTGACTATATGGGTTAATTCTATAAATAATTACGTAGACATGGTGATGTTTGAAGCTAATGCAGTAATGTTATACCACCAACTTGTGGTCAAGTCTCCGCTGTCCTTGTTCCTGTAATCTCCTCATGCCCCCCGTATTTAAATTTGTTATAGCCATAACTATAGTTTTAAGTTATTATGTTTAATTGTGTTTAAGTAAAAGTACCCATAAAAATGTTCTTATTCCTGCCTTCCAAGATCGGAGCTAGGATTATATCACAGCCCTTGAACTTTAAGGACTAAAACTTGAATTGTCTAAGAGGTAGAACTATGCAAGTTTTTTTAAAAAAAGAATGTTAGCATTGAGAGGGACCTGTGACATAATGTAGCCTAGCCCTCTGTTTTATAGATAAGGTAACTAAGGCCCAGAAAAGTTATTCACCTCGCTAAGTAAGGTTAGCGCCAGAGTTGGCACCAGAATTCGAGTCTCTGGGTTTCATTGAATTGAAAATGCCATTGATTGTGAAATACATCATTCTTTCATGTTATCACTAAGAAAGACAAAATTTACTTTCACACAATGCTTACCCTTTAGAATTTTTATTTTATACATATTGAAAGAGCTCTTTTAGACTTCATTAGACAATTTTTTTATCATATATCATTTCCTACACAAGGAAAATGTAGGTGAAATAAATTGGTATTTACAGTTTGTATTTATAGTTCAACTCTTTCTAATAACTTCTTGACTCAGTCATCGATCTTGATGCCTTTCCACCCTGTATCAACTTCTGTGCCACCAAGAACTTTGAAGATGCAGCATTTCTTAAAAGAATACATAAAAGAAGCAAAAATAATTGTTGTGGATTCTTATTTATTTATTTATTTATTTATTTTTTATTTTACTGGGGAATTGGGGGAGGGGAAGAGCCAAGTTGTTGTCGTCCTTTAATCTTAGTTGTGGAGGGCGCAGCTAGCTCAGCTCCAAGTCCAGACACCATCCGGTGAGCCATCCAGCTGCCCGTCAGCAGCTCAGCTCAAGATGTGGTATTCAATTTTAGTTGCGGGTGGGCGTAGCCCACCATCCCACGCAGGAGTCAAACTGGCAATCTTGTTGTTAGGAGCACATGTTCTCACCAGCTGAGCCATCCGGCCACCTGTTGGCAGCTCAGCGGCAGCTCAGCTTGGGCACAGCTCACTGGCCCATGTGGGAATCAAACTTGCGACCCTATTGCTCAGAGCTCGCGCTCTTAACCAGCTGAGCCGCTCGGCTGGCCCTGTTTTGGATTCTTAAGACACCTTTGCACTTACATAGAGCTAGACTTATATCTGGGATTTTCTTCCACATTGTTAACCACCCTTTCTGCAAGATTTGGTACTGGTACTTTATGCTCATGCATGTGCAGGCCAGCAGTGCACAACTAAAATGCATCCTGATGTCAGAGATGTTAAAATGTGAAAAAAACATGTATCTTAGAATTGATGAAATATGGTATATATCCAATTGCTAAGTGTTATGATATAGTAGTATATGGCAGGGAGGACCACCACGTTTGAATCAATAGGGAAAGCTTCAAGAGGAGATAAAGATTGAAGGGTCTTAAAGGAGAGAAAGGATCAGGAGTGGACAAAGCATTCCAGGCTGTGAGAACAGCTTGTAAAAAATACAGAATGTTCCCAGATTTAGGTCCTAAATTTGTCATTAAATACTTAGGTACCAAGGAGTATGCTAAGCACTTAATACATTTAATCCACATACCTATCTATGAGGTGTAAGTGCTATTATTCCATATTTTTTTAGCTGTAAAACTGAAGGTTAATGGAGAAAAGGAACTAGAGGCACAGTAATAAATGAACATTTTTGTTGATTTTACTTAAATCACCTTTCTCCTTTCCTCCCTCCCAAATAAAGTTCTTGAATCCATTTTTCACTTCTTCAAGGGATATAATCCTTGGCATTGCAAGTTCTCATTTCCTCATTTGATGGGAAAAGAGGCACAGTATACAAGAGGGAGAGCTTGAAGGGATCTAGTAGGACTTGTGATTAACTGAGAGAAGATACTCTCGTCTGAAGGCTTTGGGTGGTCATTGCTAGCATTTAGGCTTTATAACAGGTGAGTGACAAAATGACTCTCACGACTTTGGTGCCACTTTCCTTTTTTCCCTTTCTCTCTGCTCCCAATGTGAAATTGCCTTTAGTTTTTTTTCGTAGGATAATAGAATTTTAAACATTGTTCATTGCTGTTAATTCCTTTACTAACCTGCCATGTGGGTATTCCTTTAGGTAGCTCTCAAGCTACCTAAATATAATTATGTGTATCACTTAAATTGTCTTAACTATATTCAACAAAATGTAGACTAACAAAGTGTTTTCATTTTTAAAAATTTTGTTTTGTTTTTGTTCACTTCCAAAAAAGAAACTATGAGATGAGTCTGATCAATAAGCTCACATAAAACACATGTTATTAATTCATCTCAGCTATTTTCTGAAATTCATTTTCCAAGATGTGCCATTTATAGCTCACCACATTAATCATTCTACATTTTCTCACACTCTGGTTGAGAGATGCAAGTTAAGTTTCATGCATTGCCTGTCTTTGCTAGAATTTCAATACCTTTTCAAATATTCCACATGTGTAATATAAACTGGATGATAGAACCCTGGTTATTATTGTATTTCTGAACAGTATTAATACAGAGACAATGCTAAAGTTTAAGGAATAGGAACATGGTGACGACGAGGATTGTTTATATATGGGAGGATATTGTATAATGCTCTGGATTGATGTAACAGCCAGTTTTATGCTTTCTCCTTCTCAGTTATCAGGGAATATGAAGAATAGAAAAAGCATCCAGGAACCTAGATTTGATTATTACAACAGCGAAGTTCCTGATATTGACCTCAGTGATTGTGAATTCCCACATGTCATTGAAATCTATGACTTCCCTCAAGAATTTCGTACTGAAGACCTGCTACGGGTTTTCTGCAGTTATCAGTAAGTATTTGCAAACGGTTGGAGATGCTAGGGAAGGTGGGATGAATTTTTCTTAAAATGTCTTCTGAAAAATCATCTCTTTTGTTTTCATATTCCCTGTTGTTTACCTTAGCACTGAGTTTGATTATTGTCTTTTCCAAGACCATTAGAAATATTCTGTTTCAAACCACTCTTCTAAGTTTCTTAAAAATGCCAAATTGTCTTTCTGGACACCATTTTTGCATTTTGGAAGAACAATGTCAATGATGACTTCTAAATCTGTCTTCGTTGTGCATTTAGTCCATTTATATTTATTGTAATTATTGATATACAGTTGACACTTGAACAAGGTAGAAGTTAGGGGTGCCGACCAACCCACACAATAAAAAATCTGCATGTAACTTTTGGCTCTCCAAAAACTTAACTATAAAAGCCTACCGTTGACTGGAAGCCTTATCAATAACAAAAACAGGTTATTCACACACATTTTGTATGTTATGTATATTGTATGCTGTATTTTTACAATAAATAACCTAGAGAAACCTACTAAGAAAATCATAAGGAAGAGACAATACATTTACAGTACTGTACTGTATTGATACTATAAGTTTTTTTTAAAAATCAGCCTATAAGTGGACCTGCACAGTTCAAACTCATGTTGTTCAAGGGTCAGTCATATTTGGATGTATGCCTGCCATCTTTTTTGTGTGTTTACTTGTCCCATCTTTTTCTCTTCTTCCTGCCTTCTTTTGGATTGATGAGGTATTTTTTTCTCATTCCATTTGTTTTGGGAAATGATACTGTTTTTATTCTTTGTTATTTACTTCAGAAATTAAAAAATGCATGCTTATGGCTAAAGTTAATATTTTTACACTCTTTCTAAACACTATAAAGGCTTTTAAAGTTCCATTCTCCAATTCCATTCTTCACCTCTCTCCACCCCAATTTATATGCTGTTGTGATTGAGCATTTTGATTTTTAAAAATTTTTTCTCTTTTTCCTTTTAAACTCTATTTGATGTTATTGTTTTATATATTCAGCATTCAGATTTACCCACTTTTTGTGTTTTTGTTTATACCTTCTTGTATCTAATACATTCCATCTGAAACCTTTTTCCTCCTGGATGGAATATACTATTTAGCATTTAATTTAGTAACAACAGTCTGCTGGTAACAAACTCAGTTGGTTTTGTTGTTGTTGTGTTTTAATGACTTTATTTCAACTTCATTCTTGAAAGACTTTTGCTGGATATAAAATTCTAGGTTGGCAGTTATGTTTCTCTCAGAAACTTGAAGATATTCTATAGTATCATCCAAGTCAGCTGAATGTAATCTCTCTTCTTAAGTTTTTCTCTTTGTCTTTGGTATTCTACATTTTCAATATGATGTGGCTTTGTGTTCTTTTTATTCTTCTTGAGATTATTTGGGCTTCTTAAATCAGTGAATTAATGTTTTTCATTGGTTTTGGAGAACACTCAGACATTATCTCTTCAAATATTGCCTCTGTGCCAGTTTCTCTTTTATCTTCTCTAAGATGCCAATTAAATGTACATTAGACTTCTCACTTAATTCTCATGTCACCTCTCTTTCATATTTTCCATCTCTTTGCCTGTTACATTTGGAATAATTTCTTTAGCTCTGGTTAGCAGTTCACTAATTTTTCTTCAGTTGTATTTAATTTGCTGTTAAATCTGTCCCTTGAATTTTTAAATTTAATTTTATTATGTATTTTTATTTTTCAAAGTTCTCTATTACATCTTTTACAAATCTCCATGGCCATTTTTTTAGTTTCTTGTTTTCTTCAAATATTTTCAAGATTTAAAAAATTTCTTTAAGTATGTTAAACATAGACCTTCTATAGTTTATGTCCGGTAGTTCCTTTACCTGAACTCCTTTTAGTTCTGTGCCTGCAAATTCTCACTCATAGTACCTTGCTTTTTTTGAGGTTTATTTATTTGCTTATTTATTTTTTACTGTGAACACCCATCTTCCTTGGAATTATATTTATGGGAATTGAGGCCTGCAATAAAAGAAGAGGATTTCTACTGAAATTTTTTTCTGCCAAGCACCAAGGGCACTAACAGTCCAGGAGCACTGTAAATTAAATTATTGATTTGAGGTTATTCTGACCACTCAGATAGAAATAGTCAAGTGAAGAATGATAAAAAATGATTGTTACATGTCTCAACTAGTTTATTTTAACAGCACTTATCAATGTCCATTCACTTGCCAGTCTCTGATGTGGTGCCAGACCTTTTTAATTTTTTTTTAATTTTTTAAGTTATTGGTCTGTTGATAGAAGACTTCTCATATGTCACTGTCCTAATATATTACTGTGACTTCCAGTTTCATTTCTTTCTTTTTTTTAAAGATTTTATTGGGGAAGGGGAACAGACAAGTTGCTGTCCTTTTGTTCTTCAGTCTAGTTGTGGAGGTTGTCGCTTCACTGGCCCATGTTGGTATTATCATTGCGCTCTTCCTGGGTGAGGCAGTCGCTCGCCGGCCATTGGACGGCTGCTCACAGCGGCTCACGGCAGCTTATGAAAGCTCACACCCACTGCCGGCTAGCCCCACTACAGCCTACGCCATTGCTGGCAACTCATGACAGCCTAGCTCCAGGTCAAGCTGCTGTTCACCATCTTAGCTGTAGAGGGCGCAGTATCACTGGCCCTCATGTGGGATCCGAACTGGGGCCCTGCTGCTCAGAGCTGGTGTCCCAAGCCAACTCCTAACCAATGTGCCACTTGGCTGGCCCCAGTTTCATTTCTTTAACGTGCAGTAAGAACTTTAATGTACCTTCAGAGTCATCTGAGTGTACATTACTTATAGGGTAAAATGTTTTCTATGTTTTTTTATTTATTTTTTATTGGGGGGATGGGAACAGCACTGGGGAATTGGGGGAGGGGAACAGACAAGTTGCTGTTGTTTTGTTCTTCAGTCTAGTTGTGGAGGACGTTGCTTCACTGGCCCAAGTAGGCACCATCATTGCGTTCTTCCCGGGCGAGGCAGATCAGTCGCCAGCTTCTGGAACGGCCGCTCACTGCGGCTGCTGGCCGCTCACTCTGGCTGCTGGCTACATACAGTAGCCCATGGCAACCTACTGCCACAGGGGCTGTAGCCTACACCACAGCAGCGCAGCTCCAGGTTGAGCTGTTGTTTAGCATCTTAGCTGTAGAGGGCAGTGTCACTGGCCCTCATATGTGGGATCCGAACCGGGGCCTTCTGGTGTCCCAAACCAGTTCTTAACCATCGCGCCACTCGGCCGGCCCCTCTGTGTTTTTTTTATAGCTGTTTTACCCAAACATAATTGATAATCGTTTCTTGGGTTGTTTTTTTTAGTGACTTCACCTTTCTCTAGTCTTCCAAAGTATTCAACTAAGTTTTTATAGATACAACAACTCTTCTGTTTCACATCCGTATTTCACTGGTTTAATTTTATTCAGTTCAATTATGTAGTGAATGTAAATTAAAACTGATATAAGTGGGTTTGAAAACAATTGCACTGACTATTGGTATGCATATCATTCCTAAATACATAGGAGACAGTAAGAGTGTCAGAAGTGTACCTTTATGTCTCTAGCTTATAAGAAAAAAAAATAAGCTTTAGGAATAAAGAAATAATCCTGAAAGAATGTCATTAAAAGATTTTTAGGGTCTGAAACAAAGTCACTTTAATGCTCCAATCTTCATGTTAAAAATTTAAATTTAAAATTCAATTCATGTACCTGTTGAATTTGTAAGATTTTGTATCATTAGGAGATGATCATTAAGATCATTAGTCAGCTCTGCCATTGTTGCATAAAAGCAGCCATAGACATTTTGTAAACAAATGAGCATGGCTGTATCCAATGGAAGTTAATATGCAAAACCGAGCATCCTGTTTCTATAAAGTTCTAGAACAGGCAAAATTAGCTACCAGCCATGTACCTCACTTATATTTGGTTGGGGGGAGCATCCGTTCTATAAAAGAAAGAAGGAGTGACTGGATCCTGGAAGACAATTTCTGCCACAGACCTTATACTAAATATGTAGTGTAGGTGGTCAGTCAGTCTCATTCATTGCAGTTATGTTAAGACCCAGTATAAGAGCCTAGTCCATATAAAGTGCATAACAGATTTTAAAAAGTTGTCAATGAGATTAAATCACAAATCAGAACTACCTTAGATTGTCATTAATAATGATGACTTTTAAAACCAAGGATCAGTTTTGTTGATGTCTAGACTTTCTTGAAGATTAGTTAATTCTTATGAATTATTTATTAACATCTCTTTGATTTGTTTCTTCTTAATCTTGCCTGTAATGCTATTTTATAAAATCAAATCCAGAAACATTCTCAAAAGAGAAGCGTTTTAAAGGATTATAAATTCCAAAGTCTAAAAGACCCCTCAGAACCCATCTAGGTCTTTTTCTATCCTTTTTGTAAACTATCTTATGATATAGATTTCTACTATTGAATTTTTACATAGTCTCCAACCCCTGTGCTCACTTTATGTCATGGTCAAACTTAACCTTACTTTCAGGAAATTCTCTAACCTTCAAAAGCTCCTTTATTCCCTTTTCCCTCAAAGGAATTTTTTTCTTGACTGGTTGTTGAAGAGGGAAAATTTTCTAGCAGTTGTTTTTCTTTTTCCCCCTTTTTAGTGCTTTATAAAAATAAAGAAAAGGTCATGGTGCAAAAGCCTGTAGTAATGTCTGTGAGTCAAATACTACAGTCAGCTTCATGTTTTAATCACTGTCTTCATCAAAATTAATACTCTTCCTGATAAATATTGCTATTAATAATAAAAATGAGTGGCCTTCCTTTGTTAAATGCCCACTGAGTGCTCGGCACCATGCTCTTTGCTTTGTTATGGACGATCTCATTTCAATTTTTACAGCAACTCCATGAGGAAGTACTACAGATCAGCAGACCTAGCTCGAGAGAGGTTGAACCTGCCCCAGAGATTCAAGGAGGGGGACAGAACCTGAGTCCATGTATATGTGACCCTCAAACACCCAGCTCTTTCCTCAGGGCTGTATCGAGTCTGTGAGCAGTTTTAAGCTCCTAGCTAAAAAAATGATAGCTGTGATGTCATCATCCGGATAGTCCTTATGCTCACTATGAGAGCTTTGCTCCAAAAGACAAAGGTGTTTTTTAGTACTTCAGTGGCCACTCCTTTGAATCTTTATAATTTAGTCTAATATTTCTCTTGATTTCTTTTATCTTGAATTTTTCTGGCTTGCCGCATTTCTTTCCTATTTTCCTTTTCTACTTCCCTTCTACAACAAGTAAGGAAGAATGGGTCAGCTTCTCTGATTACAGTTGTCCATTCTTTCTGTTACTTGATTTTTTTTTGCTTTGAATGACCTGTATTCTTCTCTTCTGTCTCTCTGTCTCTGTCATTGAGCCTACATATGAAAAGTCAGACAATTAAGTGTGCGAATTTTGCATTGTGCACTTACACGGCGGAAAGTTCTCCAACTTAATTGCCTGACCTCTAGCATGCATTAAATCCCGGTGACCTTCCCTGCCTACCTTCTCCTCTAATATTCTTCTACCCCTCCTCTGCATCCCCTTTCTACCTCTTCTTGTTCTGTGCCCATAAGAACGTCTCTTGTAAATAGTGTGTTAACTACTTTACCTCCCCAAAGGGATCTGTGAGGATTAATTAGTTGATGTCTATAAAATGGCTGGGAATGTAAAACACTACCAAGTAGTTCTGTATGATGGTATTATTGCTTTTAAAATTCAGTGACTTCTTCTGTCCTCCAAGCTGTTTTTTGTGCCATTATCCCCATTTCACCTGCACACTCGTTGGGTTTTTCTCTCTCATCATGCAGTGCTTTATGAGACACTATTTTAAAGATATTTCATAGAAGTAAATTTTAAGAAATAAAATTGTGGGTTTTTTGTTGCAGGAAGAAAGGATTTGATATTAAGTGGGTGGATGATACACATGCCCTAGGAGTATTCTCCAGTCCGATTACAGGTATTTACCCAGTGGATTTCAGTGTTCTTTTTTTATTGTCCATTTTCTTCTGCAACTTGTCCTAATTTCGCTTCCATTTTAGCCAACTGGCATTTTATTCAGCCAATACAAGTAATAAAAAAATTGGCAGATACGGGTTTTTGAGGCATGGTGTTTTGGTACCTGTGTGCTTCCCTTGTCTCTTTTCACCTTAATCCAATGGTATTTGAAGAGATAGTCAACTCCTTTCAAGGTTATTTGCTGCAGTTATGATAGTACATAAACAGACGATAGGTAGAGATTTAAGAAGCCTGTGTGACTAAATCTTACTGTATTTATGATGGTTTTCCCCCAGACAAATGAATTTGAAGTAGCCCTTTAACTTATCCAGTGAGAGATTGTAATACATACTTTCTCAATATTTGATTGTACCTTTTCACACAGCATATAATTGGCCTCATGATATATCTGATGCAGAGGCATTCAAAGAAATTAGAGATTTTGGTTTTGGTCTGAACCACCTAGATTAGAGGTCTGCAAACTTATTCTTTAAAAGGCCACGTAGTAAACGTTTTAGGGCACCTGGTCTCTGTCAGTACTTAACTCTGCCACAGTAGCAAGAAAGCAGCCATAGACAATATGCAAACAAATGGGCATGGCTCTGTTTCAGTAAAAATGTATTTACAAAAACAGGGTTTTGGCTGGATTTGATCACAGAGCCATAGTGTGCTGATCCCTGATCTAAAGTAATCACTGCCAAGTTATTCCTTATAGATTTTCTAGAGCTTACCATCTCCTTTGCTTGCCATGAAAGATAAAGCATCATAACATCTAGGAAATACTTTCTAAGAACTAGCCTTAAATTTTCCTTTGCATCACTCTTCTTCATGTCTTCTCCTTCCTTATATTCATTGCTCTTTGCAGCTCGTGATGCTCTGGGTAGTAAACACACCATGGTGAAGATACGGCCCTTGTCACAGGCCACAAGAGCAGCCAAGGCCAAAGCTAGAGCTTATGCTGGTGAGCTAACAATCTCGGGGGGACGGCTTTTCTTGTTGATAGTAGTGTTATTGTTTTTTTAGCACTTGTCCAGCACCCAGAGTTCTAAAGGCATATCACTATTATTTTTAGTGTTAAAAGGAGTATGACTTGAAGGAAAAAAAGAGAAAAGGCTTTGTGGCATCGAGCAGCCACTTGGAGAGAATGGGAGATTCTAACTGCAAGCAATGCAGCAACCATTTTCTGATGACATCCTTATCTAGTTTACCTCTGTGTTAGCTGTTTGATAGAGTCACTGTAAGAAATTGTGTCAATACGGATAATGAAGACAGGGTTGTTTGTGCTTTGCCATGTTAATTTCCTCTGATGGTCATCTATCAGGCTCGTATTAATTACTGCTGATGCAGCCCTTTTTAGTCTATTTTGTATGTTAATTACTGGTTAAATCACTTGGAGCAGAGTGCTTTCTCTTCCTTACTCCAGCCTACTCCTTCCTTTTCTCCCATTCAGAGTTCCTCCAGCCAGCAAAGGAGCGTCCTGAGACTTCAGCAGCCCTAGCTAGAAGGCTAGTCATCAGTGCCCTTGGGGTTCGAAGTAAGCAGAGCAAAACTGAACGGGAAGCGGAGCTCAAGAAACTGCAAGCAGCCCGAGGTGAGTTGAAGTGATGGCATTCTTCTTGAGTCCCTTTAGAGCTCACTATAAGGCATGTGTTAAAAAAAGAAAGAAAGAAAAAAAGGAATGAAACTCACTCCATTTTGTCATTTCCATTTCCTAGAAGCCTCCCAAGTGTATTGAAATTGTTTTCATGCCTTGTATCTAGGAGGAAGACATTTCAGGATTTGTATGCCTGTTCCACACACCAAGGCATCCTAATCCATTCTCCTACTGTTGTTTTCCGAGATAGGTTCCATCTTCTCAGCTCATCTTTGGCTTTTTCTATTGTTCTTACTCCACATGTTGAGAAAAATTTCCCTGTGAAAACATAATAGTCTCCCAGGCAGAAAATGTTATTTGCTGTGGTTTTACTGGGCCATGATTGCCATGGTATTATCAAATGCTTTAGATTTTAGGTAGAAGACAAATTAAGGAAAAGCCAGCAACTGACATTGATGATGATAACTGTAGGAGGTATTTTTTTTCTGCAAAGACAGTCCTGAGTGGCTCCATTAGAGTACATCTAGATTACTCAGCTTCTGATTATTTTTCAGTATCTAAGAGTTCTCAGAAAGTATTTCAACTGATCAACAAGCAGGATTTTTCTTTCCCCTATAGTTTGGAGTTGAGGTTAAAATCTCCGTCTCCACTTTATAGGCTGTTGACTTGTCTGTAAAGACTTGGGACTCCAGCTTTGTACTTAAGTACTTTTTATCAACCTTCAGGCTTTAGACAGTCTCATTGCCTTAGCCCACGATCTGTGGAATCTGTGAAGGCAATTTATTCTGAAAATTCCACTTACTGAAAAGTAACTTCATTTTTCCATTAAACGAATTGAAGTTTCAAAGTCCTTGTTTATTGCCACTCTAACAAGGCCATTAATACTTCCTGTCCACTCTGCTTTGGTGATAGCAGGCAGCTTGTGGACTCTCGGCTGCACTGGCCAGATAACCAGTGACAGAGTGTGTCATGCATGGCAGGTGTTAGCGTTTTAGAGTAGAACCCAACTAATTTTTGAAACCTTAATGATTTTAATGAGGCAGTTTTGATTTTTCCAATGCATTGTTCATTCAAAGGCCTCTTATAGACGATAGAAATGGGAGGATTCCTGTGGTTTTTATAGATGGCAATAATAGAATTAGATTAAAGGAGAATGCAGTGTTCTTAACCCTTTATTAATTGGTTATCCATGAAGAAAATGATTTCTCTGTGAGAACCACAATTATCTCAGAAGATCAATAGAGGGTAATAACAGCGGTATCTATAAAAGAAGCTATGACTCTTTTTGCAGTTATCATGCTTTCCTGTGTATCTCTATAGATGCAGCAACAGTTTTGCATGGATATCATCTGAGTGGTCCCCTCTACTTCTCTGTAGGCACATCAGCATGCAGCTCCACTTGAAGTATTTGTTTTAAGTACCCAGATATTTAAGGACATTTCAGTGATGCAATTAAAAATGAGACTGTTGGCTAAGTGGTCACCCTGTTACTTACTTTTTTGAAGAAGGCATTTAGTTGTGAATAGAGATCCCACTGTAACAAGTTCCTACCATCTATTGGTGCTGAGGCTGTACAGATTTTAGAGGGCTTTTTGTTATGCTTCAGAGCTTTCCCATTCTTTATATCTGAGAAGACGCATTTGGAAAACTCCTGATTTATTTCTTTCTGGTTTCTTTATGTATTGAGCCAGATACTCTTGTACCTGCCTGCATGGACCCTAAGGCTTCTCACTTAACAAAACTTTTTTTCTATGGAAATTAAAAGTACTGTTTGGGTATTAAGCAGATATTTTTGTTCCAGACCTTCTTCCACTAGAGATGGAGGGATCGTCACGGCATAATGGATAACATTATTGACTCTGGAATCAGACTGTCTGGGTCCACATCTTAGCTCTGCCATTTACTGGCTGTGTGACTTTGTGCAAATTAGTTACTCTTGGGAGGCCTCTGTTTCCTTATCCATAAAATGGAAATCAAGTGAGATAATCCACGAAAGAGACTTCGTTGTCTCCAAAAACCATAGGAATGCTTTCCTTTCTGTTTCTGTAGGCCTGTAATTATTAGTGAGAAGTGTTAGCTGCTGCTGTTTTTATTAGTAATAGTAGCAACATCATGGTGAGTTCAGGCAGATTCCAGTGCATGTTTTTTGTCATTACTCTTGTTGTAAATTTCCTATGATACTCTTATCAACTACATTTGGCATGCTCAGCACCTGTTCTGTGCAAAGCATCATGCTCTCTATTTAGAGGAATTAGATGGCAAGATTTTGTTCCTCTCCTTCAGACTTACAACCTAGTAGGGACAGCTGCTTTGAGTAAGGAAGAAAATATGAATCTGGTATTTTAAGCAGTTCTTTCTCTTCTCACTTGAGTTCTGACAATTTTAAGAATAAAAGCCATGAAAGGGTTTTTGTTGATTAAAAGGATTGGAAGGAAACTCCAGGTAATGTAAACATGTTATGATAACTCTATGCTGGATGGTATTGTCTCCAATTTAGAGCTGGCCCAGAGAAGTTAAGTAACTGGCCTAAGGTTACCCAGCTGGTAAATTGAGAGGAGGCAGTTGAACCTAAGCCTCTGTAATTAAAACCTGTGCTCCTTCTGTAATACTGTAATCTCTCCAGAAGGATTTTGAGTTAATTTGCCTTTTTTCCCCCCCAGAAAAAAAATATTAAAAAAAATTTAGGGCCTTCAGAAAATAAAATATGACAGGCTTCTTTAGTTATTTTTTTCCAACAGTTAGCAGCTTTCACTGTCAAAAAATTCTTCCCTATGTCTAACTTAAATCTGTATGATAGCTTAAACTAGTTTCCTTTTCTTTTTTCCTTAGTAGAAATAGGGAGCATCTGGACATCTTTCTGTTGTAACAACTTGTAACATAAAGATCAAGGGCGGATCATTTAGGAGTGCCGAGTCTGGGCTGTAATGGAGTTTTGCCATTAACTAATTGTGTGGCCGTGGGCGAGTCTCAGTGCCCCAGTTTCCAACAAAGTGAAAGTAATGTCTGACTTACCTAACTAACCTTGGAGACTTTTTTGAGCAAAACCTAAGTTAACATGTATAAAAATGTTTGGAAAAGAGCTTTATAAATTCAGGATGCTGTTATTTATGGGATTCTTGGGAAATTAGTGTTTATTATAATAATATGAGCCGGTAATGACAAATATGTACTATGTACTGCTCCCCACCTATTATGACAAACAGTGCAGATCATTCATAACATTCTTTTTGGGTGAAGTTTTGACTGGACCATTGCCAATTGATCAAAATTAGAATGGGAATTGAGATCTATGTGCTATCCTATATACAAGTCGGTACTTTTATTAATAACACTGTAATTTCCTAGCCTTTCTTTTTCCTGCTTGAGGCCTTTTATTTGGCACAGTGCCTGGTTTATAAAAAGGCACTCAATATACATGCATGTTCGTTGAATACATAAATGACTTGGTTACTTTAATTTTCCTTCATAAATCTTATTTCATTCATGATTCTACTCTGAACCCTGTCAAGTCCTCTGTGTGTTTCTTTATAAAACCCAGAGCTGAACACGGCATCTGAGACTCTTCTAATTAATGAAGTTGGGATTTGTGGCTTTGAGGGTTAAATATTTCCTGCTAAGGTCCACCACCTACTTTGGTTTCTCTACCTTTTTAGTGAGAAGTTTATGTCTTAGTCCTTAAAAAGGAGATTCGGAAAATAAAGCTACTCTGGAAAGAATTGAGAAAAATGAAATACCCAATTCATTTTAAGCAAATTGTATTGTATATATCTGGAGGATAAGAGCTTTATTTTCACGAGCCTTTGAACATGGGGAAAGTATTCTTTTTGTCCAGCAGAGTATATAACAGATCAGAGTTACAATGAGAGTGGGAAATGAAATCACAGATCATCCTTGAGTGCTTTGAGTGCTTTTTTTATTTTTATTTTATTTTAGTTTTCAATTACAGTTGACATAGTATTATATTAGTTTCAGGTGTACAACATAGTGATTAGACATTTATGTAACTTATGAAGTGATCACTCTGATAAGCCTAGTACCCATCTGACACCACACATAGTTATTATTGACTGTATTCCCTGTGCTGTACTTTACATCCCTGTGAGTGTTTTTATAACTGACAATTTGTACGTCTTAATCCCTCCCCTTTTTCTCCCACTTCCCATCCTCCCTTCCATCTGACAACTATCCAAATGTTCTCTGTACATCCCTGCGTGCTTTGTATTTGTAAAACACTTAGTCACGTGTTTTTGCCCAGTGACTCACACTACATGATAAAACCACATTTTACAGACCAAACTCAGGGATATGTGTAAAACTTCCCCACGTCCTACTTAGTGAACCAGTGGATTCCCACCTGAAACTGGAGATAGATGGCATTACTTCTCAGAATAAGCTACTCTCTCATTTTCAAAGCCTGCTGTAATTTTGTTTCTTAATTTTCTTTTTATTCTTGGGGATAGGTGATGAATTGGCTGGTCCTAAAAGGACCTGAAAGATAGTAAGTAAACAATAATTTGATCCCCTGGTTTGATGAGTTAAAATCCTAAGAACTTAAAAGTAAAATCTCTATAGTATAGTCAACTGTAATAAAAGAATTAATCCCAGTTGCTACCTTTTAAAATCCTTTTTAGGCATTCCATTATTCTGCCTCCAAGGGCAGCACTGCATGGCTGACTCATATTCTAGGTTTTGTGGCATTTTCTTGGTTTTCTTTTCTCCCCTGATGTGAAGTTCTTGCATTTCTAACCACATTTCCTTTCATTTGAATGTGGTCTTTTTCTCTGAGTGCAGTATTGACCCATATTTTTGGTGTCACCTGCTCTTTAATAAACGTATGCTCCTGGCCTAGATCAGAGAGGAAATGTTAACCCTAGGCCTGACTGACCATTTTACCAACTATTGCTAAATAAATAGCATGTAGTTCTTTGTGTTGATACTTCATACATTGATAAACAACCCACTCTCCAGCATTATCTGTCCCCTTAACACTTAGGTGACCCAGACTGTGTTTTCCCAGCGTGTTAATGATTAGATAAATACTTGGTAAGCCTAAAATCTAAAACCTTGCTAAAGTTAAGAAGTTTCTCCTCCTTGATCTACCAGGTCTGTCAAACTGTAAAAGAAGACAGTTAGGTTAGTTTGACCAGACTTGTACTTCACGTCTTCAGGTAGATTTTGTGATGATTTTCTCCATTATTTCCTTAGGTGTAGAAGTAAATTTTTGAAAGTTGCAGTTTACTTCCCTTTTTACTTTTTTCAAATATGATACCAAACTGGCCTTTTTAAAATCTTCAACACTTCTGTTCATTCCTTCAGTGAGAAGTGGTGATTTCAATCAACTCATTTAATATAATCATTTCTCCCTATTTATTTATTATGCTGGGAATGAAAGATTTCAGGGCCAGGTGTGTGTGTGCTTCAGGTTCATCATTTCATGGTAGTTCTTCCATTCTTCCTTAGTTTCTTGGCCTTATGGCTGCTATTGGGCTTTCTCTTTAGTTAGTTTACTTTTTTAATGGTTGGAGGTAAAGTTAAGAGCTTTTTTCATGCAGTCTATCAGCTATTATCTGCTTTTGCTTCCCATTAATAAAAGGAACAGTGTGTTTATCTTTCTGACAAATTTTTTTCCCACTTTTTTTCCTTTGTAGATATTTTCAGATGTCAGGATAGTGGAAAGTATGTTCATTTAAGAATTAAGGACCTGGGTTCCAGCTTCAGTTTTTCACTGATGATGTAACCTTAGGCACGTCACTTAACACCCTTCCAAACTTCCATTTACTCTTTAAAATTAAGAAAATATTTTCAGGTCTCATTCTCACCTATATTTCTTTATTCTATTCATGTTCTATATTTCTAAATTTATACCTCACATTTTCACTATTCCTTTGTGTTTCTCAATTTGTCTCCCTACTTTTACTGGTTTTTGTCATACGGTTTACAACCAGAATTTCCTCATATTTACATAATTTTGGTAATAGAGATCTGCAGTCTTATTGGAAAGCCATTAGGGTAGGAAATGTTACAGAATTTTGAAATTTTCCAACTTTAGAAAGATAATATGGTTATCTTTATTCATTTCACAACACCAAAATCAAACATATTAATAGCAGGGTGTATGATTAGTCACCCTAAATGGCACATGTAAAGACTAGAAACAGCTTCATACCCTTCACGTTAGATTTACCACCAAAAGAAACAAAACTTTGTTTTCAGAACTGCTTTGGTTTTGGGATTGTGGATTGTCATTATATTTTTCTACTGCACCTGGATTTCTTGTCTTATAACTTCCCATGGTGCCTTACTAAGTTTCCGAGCTTATTGAAAACAGTGAGTTCTAATAATTCACTTTTCTGGTTTCTTTATTTTTTCTTGAAATCCAGAACCAGGTTTTGATTATTTTCATCTAAGGTCGCTTTCGCCTTTAGATCCACTCAAAACTTTCCCCTCTTTGTGAGAATCAGAACCACAGTGCCTTCCTAAGAAATGTGCTGTTTTCTAGAGAATCCCAAGCCCATTCAAGCCTGTCTTAAAGCCAAGTCAACAGGACGCTAAATTAACCAGCCTTCAGTTTGGAATTTGCTGACTCCAGGTTTTTGTCTCTTGTAACTTTGCTGCTATATTCTGGTCGTGCCACAAGATGGTGCCCAAATAGCAGCGAACTTCTCTTTCTCAACATTTACAAGTGCTAGTCAGCTTCCTGACTAAGTTCTTTGCCCTTAAAGTACAGTCACATATAGTACAGGAATTTTATGACATTCTGCTGATTTGGAAAGATATGTCAAAATAGCAAATGTTTACTCTAAACTCTCCTTGATTTTGATTTTGACTTGCAAAATCTTTTACGGACAGCTGAAATAATAGTCCTTGGAAGGAAGCACTTAGGCTTATCATCTGCGTTTTATGGTGTCAAGATAAATGACAAGCCATGAAATTAGAACTGGTATTGTGGCACCTGGTGAAGCGCTTGGGCCACCAAACCATGTATGGCTTGTATTTTCTCAGGTCTTGGTGAGAGTGTTCAATGGAAACCAAGCTGCTTTGTTAAAAATCGAAGATGCATTGCCCAGATTTGTGCATTTTCTGTTTTTGTTTTTAAAAGTAGTCCCTAGTTTTCCTTCCCTTATATGTGGTCATTTTTCCATGTTGGACTTGTGTATTCCGAAGATTTCTGGTTCCCAAAAGCGCTCTGAAAATACTGAAATTGGGTTTGTCTCTGAAGTATTTTTTCCATAAGATTGTTCTAGGAAGACATGATGAAAACCTGGTGGCTACCATTTCCATTTGAGCAAGAAATTAGAAGAAGAATATTGAAACATATCTTTGGTCACTGTTGAAAGATTTGTAAAAACCAGTAAGCTGGGAATAATAGACAATTATACTGAAATACTAACTCAGTTGAGAAATAGAATTAAAATAAATATATTAACAGCAAGACTAGAATCTGGGTCCTGTTAGATTCTGACTTATTCCATATACTTTTTATTTCTATTAGCCCTAGATCTTTTTCTTTTTATTATATAGTAATAGTAACATTTCCATTTAACACAGCACTTGGAAAGTTAAAGATATTAACTCTTGGAATCAGGTGAGAGAAGACCAGGAAATACAGTCGTCTTATGATTAAAGTTGCCTTGTAATTTGGGTTAAGGGAAAGTCACTGGTTATATGAAGTACACTACCACTTTTAACACTGCTCTGATTTGCAGAGAGAAAACGATTGGAAGCCAAGCAACGAGAAGACATCTGGGAAGGCAGAGACCAGTCTGCAGTTTGAACATCATTCAATGAAAGGGATAATTCCATGAATTCAGAAAATATTTCCATAGTCTTCAGATAAGAGGATTCTTCCAGAGCTCTCTGTACATGCAGATGTGCGTGTTAATGAAAGAAAGAGAGAAAGCGACCGAGACAAGGACTAACTGGTATAGAAAGAAGACAGACCCCTGTCTGTGTTCATTGTTAATGCAGCTCTTTAGAATTGCCTTACCATGTCGGGCATAGAAGGAAGGAAGCCATGAGCTAGGAAGAAATTTGGAAAATGTGACTTCAAGAGTCCTCTGGACAGGGCACGTCATGTTAGCATGGGTCACACTTCCAAGATGTTTGAAGCGAATACAAAACAGAGGATTCAAACCTGCGATGGTGGGAGATTTACGCCCTGCAAAACCCGGGTGTTCCTTAGTACCTCACAGAGCTGAAAACCACAGTACTGAGGCGGCAGGAAGGGAGCATCAAGTACAAAGAGACGGAACAGCGTCTGATGTATTTGGTGTTCACAGAATCTACGCTGCCAGTCCCAGAACTCCAAAATTGGTGAACTGCAGCAGATGTGGGTGTTTGGTCTCCAGAGTTTGTACTGAGCTGAGTGCCTGGGGCTGCTCCAGCTGCACAGCAGCCAGGGGCATGCCAGCTTCACTCCTCGTGGGAAGCCAGTTCTGGGAACTGTATGCCAGTTCCAGTGTAAGCAGTTCTATCATGTTGTAAGAGGGAGACATTAAAGCCCATTTTATGACAGATCGCTCTGGTATTTGTCAATTTTGTCATTCCCACAAAGAAATTGGAGAGCAGCGCTCCTCTCATCTTCCTCCCTATAATCTGTTTGTGGGTTCAGTGGGTCTCTTGATTTTATTGAGCCTCCCTGTGTAGAGAGCTGATCATGTCTGGCCCAGAGCATACTACAGAAGTGCCTCTCTTGGGGTTGGTGTGTGGCAGCTCCTCTTCCACTCTTGCCTTCCTTGTGCTCCCACACCCCAACTGCTAGCCTTTTCCCATTTCTGTCAAATCTGACATCCTGCAGAAAGCATCTGGCACACAGCATGTTCTTGGTATGATCTTCTCAGCCTGTGCCAGAGGTACTTGACAAGTAGCTCCAGACCATCTGTTCCAATGAAGAGCAGCCAGAATAAAACAAACACCTCTGGGCAGTGAGAAATTTCCGCCTAAAGGGCATGGACAAGTCGGAGCCGTCACCCCGGGCTCTATCCATTTCATATCTGCGTTCTCAGTATTTTTGGAAAGTAGCGCCTCACCGAAGAAACGGTAGTGCTAGACCTTAAGATGCTGAGGTAGCAAGAAATAGTGTTTCATTGTGCTCTCAACTAGGGCAGTAGCCTCATTTTTGTATGATTTAGTGCCCATGACAATGATAGATTATTAGCATTGCCTAGAATATGGTGGAGTGGGGCTCTTTTCAGACGGTCCTCAAATGACACTGCCTTGGGTCTTAGTCCTGACACAACTATCCCGCTGCTATTCTGGTCCTAGGGCCCTCTCGCAGTTCCTCAGCATTGTTTCTCCAGTCTTGGTCAGCTCTGAAAGTGTCTCTTGTTCATGCTCAATGCCTCCCTTCCAAGTTTGGGGGATGAAATAAGCCCTTCTTTTGACCCACTGTGCCAGGACTTAGACCAGTGCCCTTCTCTTTAGCTCGTAGCTGCCCAGCTTGTGCTCTGTCTTCACAGAACAGATGTCTCTGAGATCCGTCTGTTTGAACAATATGGCTGCATTTGAAAGGAAGTGGAAATGCAGGGAATTGTAGCCAGGCTTTGTACTGAATGGTGTGCCTCAGAGATGGAGGCATAATACCTTTGCTCTGTTTTGATTCTTCAAGGCAAGTGACCTTGGGCAGTAAAAAAGAGATGATCTCCCTTTTCTTTTGCTTTGAGGGTCCTTGCCCTTTCTAACAGCATTTTAAGCTTTTAAGGGTGGTGTTGATGTTAACAGCCCCATGTTTATTACCTAGTTTGCGTGGAGTCCTCATGATTTCTAGAAGCTACTTTTGTTCTCATTCTAATGCTTTGTACTAGGTGGCTAGTAGCTTATGCCTTTTTTTAGCTAACAGTCAACCACCTCTAAGTTTCAGATTTATCCTTATAACCAGACTCAGAGAAAGGATTTTTTTTTTTAAAGCCGATACTAAAAGCAATGGAGTGCTGCTGCTTCTACCATTAGTAGAGAATGTGCCGTTGAGTTGTATTTTTGTAGCAGTTGGGATCAATATCCACTGGCTGGAGGTAAGAGGGCCTACCATGGCCCAGCACAGACTACATTGAGCTTGTCCAGACGGGAATAAAATCTTTAGCCATATCTAAACCATGCCTTCTCAAGCTCAGCTAATTGGAGAGCACCTGTAGCTGCCACTGGCTCCTTTGTTAGATATTTGAGAAGACAGCTAGTGTACTCTGTTCTGCATATATGTTGCTTCATATACCAGGGGTGTCAAAAAAATGTATACAAGTGGACAACTTTGGTCAACATTGCTCAAGCAGTTGTTCGCCATAATCAGAAATGTCTGGACGCTGATGGTAACCACGATGAATACCTCTTGTAATTGCAGAAGTCAAACGTGACTTGTATTCATCATTTGTTGTTGATATATATTATTACAATTTTAATAGTTTTTTTCCTTTCTTAAAATGTATATACATTTTTGGATCGCCCTCTGTGTATATGTTGAGCATGTGAATCCAGGATCACCTGGAATTTATAGTAGAAAGGTAGATTCCCCTTGAGTTCTGATATGCTCCCCAGAGAGTGAAAATCTTTGTGGAATAGAAATAAATTAGGCTCCTGAAGAGTAAGCCGAGGTTCCTAGCACTTTAGTTTCTGTGAGATGAAAGTATGCTGAGGTGAAAATCTTGTGACATTTTTGGTTCTGTCTGGAATTTGGTGGTTGGTATTCTGTTAACATTCCTCATCTAGCTACAAGTCATGCCAGTCACCAGCCTTCCCATGCCCTTCCCTTTCAACTTGGAGGTGTAACAGCAAAACCCTTGTGTAGCTTTTTCCAAGAATTAGAACAGGCTGCACCTATCAAACGTGTGATGTGGGCAGCAAGACTGAGCCCAAAGCCGGTGGCCGGCTGCCTGGCCTGCTTTTTCTGGCCCTCTTGTAAACTGGATCCGGCAAGAAGCTGTGGGTCAGCTCCCGGCCTGAATCTCGTCGTCGGTCACCACATGCTCCCCGACTAGCTGCACATTCTTTCACAGACCATTAGCCGCATGTGCGAGTATAATGTTGTTACTGTTCGGGAGATGTTTGCCGGCTCCAACAGGAAATCAGTCCTTCCCTTGTTTACCTAAACTGCCATGCCAAAATATAATGCTCCCTCTGCCTAATGAAGGAGATGAGGTCGAGTTGAAAAGAGAGAAGGTGGAGGAGAAGAGGGATGAAAGCAATTCTTTATATTCACAGAGCGTACCCCCGAGCGTGTCCCATTTTTTTCTAAGGACGGGGTAGCTCTCGTGATGTGAGGAGGGAAGCACTATTGTAAATCTGCCCCATCTGCTGCCATTCATTTTGGCTCTGTTATCAACGTTGATAATCCTTGGACTTTACCTTCTTGCCTCCTACCTTTCATCCCTTAACCTTTCCAACCCATGTTTCAGCACTGGGCCTGGGGAGGGCATTGGGAAGCAGACAGGAGACTCCTCTCTGATCAGAGAAATGCAGTAAGGCTGTTGTGAGTAGCGTGTGTGCCCTGCGCATCATAGTCACCAGCTCAGTGGGAGCGTGCGGGCAACTGCAAAGAACCACAGCCGATCTTGTCTTTGTAGCAGTCCATAGTGAGCAACCTTTATTGGCATTAGGGTGTCAGACCTGTAAGGATCATCTCTTAAGTGTGTCTAAGTGGAGTAAAGATTAAGAATCCTGTCCAAGAAGACCATAGGATTTTATACTACTTTGAGCAGGAGCATATCACAGCCACACCAAGCAGGGACGGTGGCTTTTCCTACATTTAGTCCTTAACTAAATTAAATGTTCCCCCATAGTTTCCTGTTCCCATTCTACCAGACCTGTCTTCTCATTCCTACAGAGATGAGTGGCTTGTTTCACCGATGTTCTTTCCATTGCAGAAATTTATTCAATGCAAAGTTCACTTCAGAAACTTGGCTGAGACCTGACATTTAGGCCAGTCCTGAGATGCACAGCAATCTTGAGGGAGATTGGATTGCCTGCCAGGTATATGGCACATCGTTTGTCCTTGGCAGAGGCCCTGGCTGGCGCTGGGGTCCATGTTACCCCAGCAGTCTTTCTGCTTGACCTTCTTTTCTGCTCTGCAGGAAGGCCCTATCTGTTCACTTCTGCAAACCTTGCCCCTTCTCAAGCCTTCAGTAATTGGTGGTGGTGGTCCATCAGGAGATAAGGGAATGCTTGAGGCCTAAGCTTCCAGGGATATTAGAAACACCCATCCAGGCAATAGGATAAAGGTAAGGGCACTAAAGCACAAACTCTTAGTATGACAGGTGAGTTCTAAATGAGGATAGATCAAGCAAGTGAATGGATTCACAAACTTCTTTGCCAGTTGTGACTTTGACACAGTTATATTGCTTTGAGCTCCTTGCAGAGAGCTATTCCCACCTCCTGTGTATTTTGGCCCTCTGTCCTCTACTCCAAGACATTTGCAAAGCACCAGTTAGATGGGGGACTGGGCCATTGTCCATCCCTAAGGAACTAATTGCTCCTGAACCAGGAACTCGGGCAAAATCCAGGAAAGATTGGGTCTCCTTATGGAAGAGGAGCTCAGCTGAACAAAGCCTGCAGGTCATAGTCCTTAGACCAGAGGCCCTGGGGACATCCCAGTGGAGCAGTACCATCTTGGTTTGCTGATCTTGCCGTCAAAGGCTTCCTGAGCAGTTCCTGGTGCCCCTTGGCACTGGCCCCTTTCTCTCTGAGTTAGGGTTCTGTGAAGGGCATGGCTCCAGTAAGCTGAGGTATCTGGTGTGTAGGCAGCAGCAGGGAGTGTGCAGCGATGGCTTCAGATGAGGTTGTTCCTGAGACGCAGCTCCTGCTCGAGGGAGAGCTCTGCATTGGCTCGGTATGAATCCCCTGTGGGCCAAAGGAAACAGTTCAGTCGGCAACCTTCCCACAGGCTCACGCCATCCCTGACCACGTCACAAACACACAGAGACATCTGCCGAGCTCATCCGTTACATCAGTCAGTCGTAGGCACAGACCCCAGTGCATCCTATAGAAACAGACCCTGACAGGTGTGCCGTTGCGGGGACACTGGGAAGAGCAGGCTATTCAGCGGGAAGGGTTGTGCTGGTTCCTTTCCTTTGGTCCTCCCAGATTCCTTTTCTAACCCCCTTTGTTCTCTCGTGCCCCGGATAATTGACCTGTAGAGGTGGCCTCACAATGGCTCCCTCATCCTCTGCTTTCTGGTGATTTAGGTCAGTGGGAAGCAACAGCAAGGGAATAGAGGGTGGAAGGAGGGAATAGCTGGGCTATGTCGTCGCCTGTTCTGGCAGTGTTCTGGAGTCTGCTCTGACTCCAGGCCAGGTTCCCCCTCCTCCACAGCTCCGGCTTTCGTCTGGGTCCAGGACACCCTCTGCCCCTTCAAGCCTAAAGGCGAAAACAGTTTCCCACTCGTGCTTATCCCTGGATGTCTCAACACCCCTCGTTTCCTTCGTCTTAACTCGCACCTCTATAAATAGTCTGTTCGTTAAATAACTTCAGACTCATCCAAGTGTGTTGTCTTCTGCAAGGCCCCTGAGGGTCAGAACTGCGTTGCTTTTCTTCCCCTCTTCCCGGCCCAGGATCCCTTGCAGGCTGCTGCCAGCGTCATGGAGGCTCTGCCGCCTCCCAGGTGCTCAGCCTCAGACTCCATTCCTGGCTCCCCTCACATTCCTGTCTAATTGGATGGCAGCAATAGCTACACAGTCTCACACCAACTCAAACCTAAGACTTCCTTCTTCCTCTTCGCATTCTGTCTTCCATCTGTTGCCAGAGTTACCTTTTGAAATATAAATCTGATCTTTCTGCCCTCTTGACTGAAATTTGTCAGTGGTTCCCGGAAGCCCACAGGATAGTCTGTTCTCTTAGTAGGAACCATCATAACCCTCCTTGCAAAGAACCTTCGTGGGTTTGAAGTACGTAGCCCCGTTTTACCATTAGAGAAAACCTCTGAGGTTGCAATTTCCTCATTGTCTTGCAGCTAGAAAGTGGTTGGAGTTGGATTTGGAACCCAGTGAAGCCCCCTGAAGCCAAATCCTATGCCTTTCCTCCTACTCGCTTCTCTGACTTCAGTCCCTCCTGTGAAACCCAGCTCAAATAGCCCTCCTTCTGGGCTGCTGCTTTCTCTCTCTGCTTACTCAGCATTTAGTTCATACCTGTTTGGGGTACTCAGTGTATTGGGGTTATCCATTTGAATGTCTTACCCTATTTGACAATGAGCTTGGCACCTTCCTCTTCTGTTGGCGTTCCTAGTACCTGGCTCAGTGTCCAGCACACAAGTAGGTCTTAAATATTTGTCGATTGAATGGACAAGTCTGCTTCACCCCACATAGGCAAGTGTGGGTGTGAACGCACACAGCCCATAGCAAATACAAACATTTTTAAACCTGAAGATGGGAGAATTGCTACTTTTCTCTATAGACAAGTAAAGCAACCACCTCCTTACTCTGCCCACCTCCCCGGATCGCTGCTTCCTCTTTTGTCTGATACTTCCAGTCCTGCAAGTGTCCTGAGCCCTGTTCTCCATGGTCCCCTTCTTGCAAGCAGTGATCACAGCTGGAGATAGCAACACAGATCTGGGGGGAGGGGAGGGGAGGGGAGGGGCGTCTACTTCTGCCTGTGAGGCGGTCAGCTGAGGAGAGAGGCCACTAGAAAAGGCCAGGCGGTCAGCTGAGGAGAGAGGCCACTAGAAAAGGCCGTATGGAAGGGAGGGAAAAATAATAGGAACTGGAAAAGGGAAACCCTGACATGGCTTGAAGTAACAGGAAAGACCAAGACAGATGGGAAATTGAGTTTACAAACCAAATAGCCTTAAAGGGATGTAGAAGAAGTAGCTATTGGGAGAGGCTCGATGGTCTGATCAGTTTGTTCTGGAAATCTACCTGTGAAAATGTCAAAGGAAATTGCACTGTGTTCCACGCCTGGCCTTTCACGCACACCTTCAAGTCACACACACGGATGCGTGTGGGCCTGCAGCCCCCGCGCCCGTGCAGAGCGGGCCTCGGCGGCGTAGGTACCTGTGTGGCAGTCGTGCAGCCAGACCCGGTGCCCATCGTATTTGCAGCGGCACTGCATCCTGTTGTTGGAGAAATCCGACTCTGCCACTTCGTATTTGGGGTTCACAACCACCTGGAGTGAGAGGAGGGGGCACCGCTGAAGACAGGCGATGTGGCTTCTGTGTGTGTTGACAGTGACCGGAATAATCCTTTACATCTCATGTAAAGTCCCACCACGCATGTTTATATTCTCCCCTGATCCTTCCACTTAACCCAGGAAGTAGGTGTTCGTGTCCCTGTTTTATAGATGGGGACTGAGGAGTCACAACTGAAAAGGCAGAATTGTCCATTAAGTCAGGACTCAAACCCAGGTCCTCTGGACCCTGATTCAGTGTTCTTTCTCCTTCAAGTGCCAGACCTGTCAGAGAGCCTGTTTATGATATTCTCTTTCATGTGACCTCAGGGAAGCTTGTGGAACATCTGGGGGAAATGGAGTCCCTGTGGGGAATCCCCACGCGCCCCCTTACCTGAAAGATGTAATCACCGGGGCCCACGTCTGTGATATCCACCCACTGGCAATCAATATCATGCCGGTAGGTGTCCCAGCAGCCGACGGTCACTCCCTGTTCCCCGAAGTTGGCACACGCATAGCGCCGCTGCAGTCCTGCAGGAGGGGTGTGCCGGTCACTGAGGCCCTGGTTAGGTACTCAGGACCGAGCACTCTGCTCAGTCTTTTCAGGAACTCCACCATTTATCCCTCACATCAGCCTCACCAGTCAGATTTTACATGCAGTCAGACCAGGGGCCCAGTTTCAGCTAAGTAACTTGCCTGAGTATCAGAGCCAGGATTCCTACTAATCATGAAGCCAGCACTGTAAGCAACCCCACCTGTGACAGATTATTTCTTTGGATGCTCTAGTGGAAATCCTTGTTGGCCTAGGAAATGTGGTTGGGAGATTCTAGTTACTGGGCTAATACGTTTGCCCGTCCATCCATCGGACCCTCTGAAGAGCCGCTGTTTACCATGCAATTCCTAAGGCGCAGGAACTGTGTGTATGCAAGTAGGCATCAGATGATCTGTGCCCTCAAAACACTTAGCTGAGATGGGACAGGTGTGCAGCTGTTAGCCAAAATAGAAAGTGTTAAGCATTTTAACACTGGTACAACGTGTGTTGGGAATGCAGAGGAAGTTGGGACCTTCCACCTAAGATTTCAGAAGGTATGAAATTGCCCTTCTCGAATTGCCTTGTGTGCTGACGGTTGCCAAGCCATCATTTCCAGGTGCCTGGGGTTATTGAACAGGGCAGAGGGGAAGCCGACGCCAAAGGGGGTGAAGAATATAACACCAGGAGGATATGCTGACAGGAAACCACATACCTGTGGGGCAATTCGTGTCCTCTAGGCAGAAGCTGGCCTTGTGCCCCTCAGCCACCTTGGAGCCATTGAGAGTGAGCAGGTCGTAGTGGGTGAACACCTCAATGCTGTGGTAGTGCCTGCAGAAGGGGCAGAGCTGTCAGTCTGGCAGCAACAGAAGAGGGTCCTCTGGAGGAGTTGGCAGGACAGACGGAGGCACCGGGCCCCATCATTACCCAGAGGAGAACGTTATAATAGCAGGGCAGTGCCCTTCTCTCTCCCAAACCCAAGATTAGTGTGACCCACGGTAGGGGAGCCTACTTTCTTGGTTCCCCTGCCTGGCAGCAAGACACAGCTGCCCCCATTACCTAGGGTGCTGACCCAGATGAGGAGAGGTGAAAGTTCTGTCCTGGCAGCCTCCAGCGGCCTGGCTTCAAGGCCTGACCCGGAGGTGGAGGGAAGGGGTACCTCCGGGGACCAACCTAGGTGCCCAGCTGCTATGGAGGGTGCTTACTCTGCTCCCTGTCAGCCCGGGCCAAATTGCCACCGTTGTTTCCAATCCAGTTCTAATGACAGCTCTGTTCACGCTACAGGGAAAGGTGCTCATTATCTCAGCAAGGCCAAGTCCCAGAGTCGCTGCCCATTCCTCTCGACTTTCCCACCCACGGCCTGTGTCCTGAAGAAGCAACCCCTCTTTTCCGTTCTGCCTTTGTCACGGGCATTGTCTCTGCTGCTGTCTGGGCTGGAGGCTCCGGATAGGGAAGAATGCCCACCGTCTCCTTTTAGTACCAGTATTCACGCTCTTCTTTGGGGACCTTGCTTTGCTGCTGCAGAAACCAGCAAGCTTTTCCTGCAGAGCCAGCATCCTGGATGGGATGTCTATTTTGGGTCTCCAGGTTTCTGGGAGTCCTCACTTCACCTGGCTTTTAAAGACAAGGCTTAAGGTCCCACATAGAAAAATTGTCCAGCATTGTTCTAACAGAGACCGGCTCTGCTGGCAGTCGCTGCTCTGTTGGCTGTGACTATGGGAAATGGAACTCATGAGCACCATCAACATGGCCACAAGCAGGGCCGGTGAGCACGCAGGCTGCTGTGCATGGGAGTCCCTGTGGCCTCGTGTGGAGGCCAGGCCAGTACGGCTCTTACCCAGAGAGCACCCCCCTCCCGGAGAAGTTTGCCTGAGGCCAGGGAAAACCCAGGCTGATTTGGCGCCTGGACCCTGCTTTTTGTCCCTCTAGAGCCATGGCCATGGGCAGGCACTCACCTGTGGCACTGGTGCCAAATCCAGCTGTGGCGTCCTGCCTTGGGACGGAAGTCAGCCCGACCCAGGTTGTAGATCTGTGAGGAGAAGCGCAATAGCCGCCGGTGTCCGTAGGGCCAGTCCATGTGGTCAGCAGACTGGGAGAGGCAGTTCTCCTCGTGGGCGCAGTAGAGCTGGCTGAGCGGGCGGTCCTCCAAGTAGGCCGTCTCCTGTACCAGCTGGGCATTCATCACGAGGTCTGGAGCACCTGGGCCGTGGGGGGCACAATGGGGATGCAGAGGCAGACGGGAGGCAGCCGTGTTGGTTCTCTGGCATGGGGGACAGGCTGGCCCCCGGACTGAGCTCTTTTGGGGGACCCCAGGAGAGTAGGGTGGGTTAGGTGTCAGGAGACGTGGGTTCTAGTAACAAAGGAATGACTTAGTGCCTTAACTCGGGGAGGCAGCCAGTGTCACGGTTAAGTTCGTTGGCTTTGGTGCCAGACCGCCTGGGTCCATGTCTTGGCTTAATTTCTGACTACACCATCAACTAGCTCTGTGACTTGCTTAACGTTTTTATCTTATTTTCCTCATCTGTAAGATCGGGATAATAATAGTGATAATACCTGTAAGGTAATTAGATCATCATTGGGCCCATGGTAAGCATGTAATTGATGTATGTATTTCTAGTGTAAAATGCTTCTCAGCCTGTAAGTGCGTTTGTGCAGCTTAGCCCATTACTGCCCTCAGTAAGCACTGCGGTTTACCTCAGCTTACTCACTGTCTTTCTCTGGGTCTCAGTGCCTTCAGTGTAAGGGGTGAGGAGAGGGATGGGGGTGGGCAGTTGGGAGAGTTCATCTCCAGGCCTGCTCCTGAGCTCTGCCGTTCTCATCCATTCTGCTCTGGTTCCTAGGACTGCGCTTTCTCCCAGGTCCCCTGTCTCACCTGATCGCTCTCATGGGTGTTCAGACTAGGGCACCCTGGGCCCTCTGAGATATCATGGACATGCCTGGTGCTTCTGTGCATAAAAATCCAACGTGTCCGAGCCGGTGTCTTGATCAACTGCTCAGTGTGCCTCTCCTGTTTCCTTCCTGTCACCAGCTCTCACCCTCCCCAGAAGCCACCCGCCTCCTCTGCCATTTGCTATCCCTCATGTGTGTTAGTACAGAAACGTGGAGATCCACAGAGGTTGCCATGTAGCATCAAGACAGAAAAGGTGCCTGTTCTCAGTGCTTGTCCGTGCAAAAACAGGATTACAGTTCACGTTTCTGCCAGAGGCATCATATGGGTGAGCCTATGCGCTGACTACACTGAGATGGGCACGCTGGTTTATGTCAGTGGATGGGCACTGCGGGTGGGAGCGGGGGTACGGCTGGTTTGCTCTATGATGACTGGGATTACTGAAAATGCACTTGACATTCCTGTGGTATATTTTGGAGAGAGCCAGCGTGTGCTCACTGACAAACCCTAGAGTTCCCGAGGGAAAGAAGGAGAGCTTTCAGAGAGAAGGAGAAGAAGTGAGAGTAAAGGAAAGAAAGAAATGAGAAAAATCAGAGGGCAAATAGGGATGGCCACAGAGTTTGCAGCAGGTTGGCTGTGCTGAGCCTGTGAAGCTGCAGCTCTCACTCCAGGCCAAACTTGGGGGGGGGGTACAAGTTCCCAGGAAGGGGAGGGAGTGGGGAGCAGGCCCCCCCCACCCCCACTCAGGGAGCCTTGGTGTTGGTGAGGCTCTCTCCAATGCCCCTTCACTCTGTAGGGGAAGGTGTGCTGTGAGGCCAGGTGTTCTTCCAAGGTGCACTGGACAGAGAAAGCCCTAAAGCTCACTGACAAAGGCTGAGGTTGTCTTGGCCTTGAAGCTTGGCTGGGAAGGTCAAGCGGCCTGGGGGGTTGGTGCCAGCCTGCAGCCTGTGGACTGGATGTATGTAGATCTCTTGGTACAGACCTGGTTGGCAGGTGTCAAACAGAGGTGCCGCTGCCCCAAGAATCAAGGTGTGTGGGGGCAGACTAAGGCCTAAAAATGGCCTTGGCCTATAGCCTTCTGGGTACATCCCACAGCTCGGGAGAACACACAGGGAGGCTGAGGCCCGGGTGTCCTCACGTTTATTGACCCTCTACAAAAGCTTTCAGACCTTTTCCTTACTACAAACTGCAGTAGGAAATATATTTTATGTCATGCCCTAGTACACACATACGTAATTCCAAGAAAAAATACTACCCTTACTAAATACATTCTGTTGTTTTCTATTCTGTTTCTTTTTATTTTTTAACTATAGGCCATGACATGAAAATTAAAAAACACTGTTGTATATCTGTATATTTTTCACATATTCTCTGTTTTAATTCTCACAATAAGTCCATGAGGTAGACAGGGCTGGGTTTGTATCCTCATGTGATTCGTGACTCGGCCACACACACACCTGGTGAATGGCAGAGCTGGTGCTCCAAGCCCAGCCCCCCTTCCGCTCCCCCACCCTGCTGGCCTTGAGCTGGGACCAGCACTCAGGGCCTTCCCTGAGGGCGGGGGGGGGTGTAGGCTTGCTTATGGGGACCCTGGGCCTGCCGGGGGCCCCCGCATTACTCACTGTCTGTGCAAGAGACTCCAGCTGAGAAGCGCCCCGTGCCGTGGGAGCAGTGCACCGGCCCGTGCCTCTGGCACTGCTGCAGGGCCAGCTCTGTGCCTGAGCAGCGCACCCCGCTCATCACCACCTCTCCAGCCCCGGGCGTCCCCTGCCAGTACCACGTGTCCTATGGAAATAGCCAGCACCACCCAGTCAGGGCTGAGAGGTGCCTTTGAGTCATCTCTGACACCCTTCTGGGGCCTGGACCCCATCGAAGCCTGTGCCCAGCCTCAGCTGGAAAATCTTTAGCGATAGAACAGTCCGTGACACTTTTTGGAATCCTCTGCTAGCAGACACTTCTTTCATGTATGGAGGCAAAAATCTACTGCCTGTGGTTTCCACCACTGGCCCTGTTCCCGTCCCTCTCCAACATGGCAGCCCTCAGCTATTTGACGAGGATGGTCCTGTTCCTGCCCCCCCGGGTGGCCTGTCTCATTTCCCAGCCCCAGATGGCTGGTGGTGCTAGGGTTGGGCCCATCTGGGGTGTGTTTCCTGGGTGTGTTGCCCTGTATTCACTTTAGTCAGCATCCCAACTCTTTGCCAAACAGCAAAGAAATCTTAAAAATCTGCGCTGCAGGCTTTGAATGGTCTTGCCCCTGCCTCCCTCTCCAGGCCCGCTTGCTCTTGGCAGCCACACTCTACCCTTGGGTCCTGATTTCCTCTACCGAGTCGTGCTTCCTTTAGCCACAGGTCTTTGCATGGGCTGTTTGTTCCTCCCCCACCTGGTCTGCCTAAGTTCCGTCCATCTTTCCAGTAGACACAATCATGTGCCTGTTGCGTGAACGTTTTATTAACAATTGCTTCCCTCCCTTGGCTGACTGCTCGGTGAGGCAGGAGCTGTCTTCTTCACCATAGTATCCCCAGCACCCAGCATTATGTAGGTCCAGAGTTTCACTCAATAGTTAATTGTTGGATGGATGGATGGATGGATGAACAGCTTTAGCACAGGAAGTTTTGGAGCAAGACAGGGGCCTACCTTGATGGCGTGGTTGGCAAAGCCGAGGCCAAGCTGTCGACAGGCCACCATGGCTTCGGTGAGCCCCCAGTGGTCACTGCACACGGCGCCCCAGCGCTGGGCCCTGTTCACCTCCACCAGCACCTCTACCACACCCTCCTCGGGTGTGCGCCCGCCAGCCAAGCGCACCTGCAGTGGGTAGAGGTGTGTGGCCTTAGGAGGGGAGAGCTCAGGACTCCCAGGCCAGATCCCCGTGTGGCCCCGGACACGACACGCCCCTTCCCTGGGTTTGTCTCCCTCTCTGTAGCATGAGGACGTTTTGCCAGATCGTCCGAATGTCCCTGCCTGCTCGAGAATCTGACTCAAAGTGCCTGCTCCTGGGGCTCCTGCTCGAGCACTCGCCCTCCGCCTACCTGGAATCCTACCATTAACGACAACTTGCCAGTTGCGACGGGCTTCCTGTCTATCATCCCATTCACAGTGACCCTATGAGACAGTTAATCCAGCTTTACAGAAGGGAGAACCAAGATCAGAGACACAAGAGGTGTGCCCGCAGTCCACGCTAGCAGGACGCCTGAGCTCTGACCATCCCAGCAGCCTCTCCAGTCCACTCCCCAGCTGACAGCCCCAGGCACCTTCTTTCTCAGCTTTACAGGGATACTGCGAGGGTGTTACGGGAGAGCGCATTCTCCTAAGAGTCCCCATTGCCCTGCGGGGATATGGGCCAGGCCTGGGGAGATTCAGGGAGAGGTGACGGTTTCCAGGCTGGCTCCGCGGGAAGGCTGATGGGCACAGGCTCGAGCTGCCGCTCATGAATCCCTCCCCACGGGCTCCATGTCGTGTCCTGGGCTTCCCCAGTCCCCAAGCCGAGGCCATACCCAGACCTGAGCTCACCTGATTCCGGAAGCCCATGTTTGGGACATTGCACCTGACGGCGGCATCATTCTCATGTCGACAGCCATTCTGGGACCCTTCCAGGGAGGGGCATTCACTGAATGTCCGCTCGTATCCCCTGCAGCGCACCTCACTCAGGTGGATGGACCCCAGCCCTACAGAGGGAGGGAGAGAAATGCTATGTGAGGCTCCATCTCCGTAGCCCCCCAGCTGTGGCTTCTCTTCCCAGAGGGGGAGATCTTCTGTCCTGGGTTCTGGCACCCCAGGGCCACCAAGGGATGGACCAGTGGCACATCGAGGCCCTCCCACCCCACCCAGGCCTCCTCACTCACCTTGGCCCAGCTGGGCCCCAAAGAGGGCCTCGCGAGCAGAGCCAAAGCCAAGCTGACGACACAGGACGCTGGCGGAGACGAGGTTCCACCCGTGGTCACAGACGGTACCCCACTGGCGGTTCATAAGCACTTCCACCCGGCCCTCGCCCACCTGGGCGCCAGAGCGGAGGCGCACCCTTGGCTCCTGCTGGGAGAAAACTGCCTTCAGGGAGGGCCAAAGAGGAGGGATGGCTTGAGCCAGCGTGGGAGCCCGGGCAGGAGAGCCACTGACCGGAGCTCCGGTCCTGCCTGTGACCACTCACAGCTGTTACCTCGCATAAGCTGTTTGTCTCAACCCCCCTTTCTTCAGTGACAAAGAGCCACCACAATCATGACAGTGAGAACAAATTCCCGCTCTAAGGAAAGCCTTAGGCGGGAGTCCCTGGGCTTCACAACCCTGCCACCTTGTCGCTGGGCCAGTCCCTTCCTCTTGCTCAGCCCCTGCTTCCTCGTTGCCCTTTGGGGCTGAACTAAATCAACACTCCCCAAAGGGATCTGTGAAGTGATTTTAGAGACGTGCAGGGGACATGGTATTAATTAAACTGACTTAGGTTGTGGGGAAGCTATTTCCGTTTCAACTCCCTTCCACGCCTTCCTGTTTCACGGAGGAGGCCATCTCATGGGCGCTGCCCTGTCTGTAACACCTCGCCAGCACTTGCTCAGTGCTTTTTATAACAAAGGGCCAGGCTCAGGTTCAATACGGGATGTAGCTACAATGTAATTACTGTCTTTATGGGTACCTCCTATTCATGGTGGGTGATGTCAGCTTTCCACTTATGGTAGGGTTACAACGGGTCCCGTTTAAAGAAATTCTAAGGTTCTACCATTCTGGGCTTTGCTCTCTTCCTCCCAGTTGCACCGATGCCTCCTTGATAGGGGCTGCTGTCCCTCCTCCCCGCCAGTCCTTCCCCCAAAGGCGGGGTCCTGCTGAGAGGGGGCCTGTGCCTCGCTGCTGGGGTGCAGGCCCCACAGGACCCACCTCTGCCCGGGATTCCTTGCGCCCAGGCTTTGCCTTGGCAGGGCGGAAGCGGGGCCCTGCCACACAGCTGACCACAGCGTGCATGCCACCCAGGCAGGCCGGCCGCAGCTTGCCCCGTGCCGGCGCCACCTGCACCGGGCAGCTGGCTATGTGGGGCTCCGTCCCCAGGCAGTTGACCCGGTGGATCCAGAAGGAATTCTTCTGGGTCAGGCTCCTCAGCCTGGAAGACAAGGGAGATGCGGGTGGGGAAGGGGTTGAGGGAAGCTCAGGACTCAGGGAGGCCAGGCGTGCGCCCTTTTGCACCCTTCCCCCAGGGTACTCCCCTCACCTGGATTTTGGATCCTTCATCTTCAAATTCCAGACTTTCCTGGGGAGGAGAAAATAGGTGGGGAGTAGAGTGGGTGCCAGTGTCCCCCTGGGCCCTCACAGTTGTCCTTGAGTTTGCAACAGACTTCACAGCTCGTCAGCTTGTTCACAGATCTTATCGCTGACCTTCACCGCAGCCCTGAGAGGGCGACCCCCTCACAGATTTCCTTCCCACGTTACAGGAAGGGAAAGCCGGGCCTAGCGAGCTCCCTCGACTAATTCCAAAGCAGGGTCTCCGCTGTACTAGGCTGCCCCTGGGGCAGGCAGCTCCCAGCTTGTCCTCTCCCCAGTCCAGAAGAAGGGGCACTTTTAGGGAGCACCCCCAAGAGAAGGTGACCCAGGGGAGAGACCTCTCTGGGGACAGGTGGAAGTTGAAGGTCTTGCTGGTGGGGGCTGCCCACCCAGAGGCTATAATCAGGGCTGCCCTCCCCTGGGTGGTAGGTGTGTCAGCGAGGCCCAGGCGTGCAATTACCAGGAAGTGGGGAGTCCGGGGCCCCCATCCCAGTCCCCCCCGCAAGGATGGAGCCACGTGACTGGTCTTCATGTGACCATGTGACCTAAGTCAGAGGCAGGTCAGAGCAACGAAAGCTGATGGGGGTAGGAAACAGTAGATGACTCAGATGCTCTGTGGGAGATTTCTCCTTGGATGAGAAACACGCAGTCTTCACTGACAGAGCTGGTGGAACTGTGACTAGCCATCATTTACCAGCTGATGCAATCTCGTGACAATCCTGTCCCGTTTCTCACAGAATGTTTTATGTCTCCTCTCCTGAATGCCGCCCCACCCCATACCTCACTTACAGGTACAGGTAACCCAGCCAAGGCCTGGCTTGGATCAGAGAGGCGGAAATTCACTGGGGCAAAGTTGAGAGGCTTCCCTGGGGATTGGATAATTGAGACTCAGATGTCCTACCGAGGCCTCACAGCTAGTTACCGGCAGAGCTGAGACCAGAACTCACGTCATCTAATCCTTATGGGCAGCACTGTACATTATTTTCAGTAAAGTCTACTTTTGAAATTAGGAACAGGCTTTTATATTCAATTGTTTTCTTTGGGGGAGTATTCTGCCCTGTAGTCAATTCTTTTTATCTGATTAGCAAATACGTTTATTTTCTGACCATTGCTGGGCATCTCTCTCAGGATCTCAAAGTTCACCCTCCCTCTCCTCTTAATTATTCCAATAACCCAGGAAACCAGGCGCGTTCCTCAGCTGGGCCTGTCGCCCTCTGATTCCCAACACCCACTGAATGTCCTGCCATCGACACCCGCCCCCGCCAATCGCACTGACCTCTGGAAGGGCCCCCACATGGCCCCCACACACTTACACGTGTGCGCACAGCCGCTGCCCACACCCCTTCCTCCCCTGTGCCCTCCACCCAGCCGCCCTCCTACCTGTAGTAGTGGCTGTCGACGGGCGCCTCGCTGGGGAAGCCCAGCATCCCGCACACCACCCTGCTGTTGTTCCTGGTCCAGCTCTGGTCACACACCTGTCGCCAGTGACCCTCGTACCTCACCTCCACGGCTCCCTCGGTCACCGGGCTCTGCCGCTTGGCACTGGCTAGGATGGGCTTGAGCCGCACCTCCTCCAGCCGCCGGCCCTGCAGGGAGTGTGGTCACCGTGGGCCCCAGGACCCCTGCCCCTGCGGAGCCCACTGCAGGTCTTCGCGTGGGACAGCCAGGGCTCAGAGCGCTTAGAGACCCCCCCCCACAGCCCTTCATTGGTCAGGCCAGGAAGCAGGCCCCGACAGGAGGAGGCGTTTGTCCAAGGCAACATGGTGAGCTCGAGGTAGAACCTTGGCCTGTTTAGGGTCCTTTCCTCAACTCCAGGGAGAACCAGGTAGGTCTGTGCCCTCCCTGGGGTCAGGATGGGAGCCCTTGGAGCTTGGGCGGCTTCCACTAGGTACAGAGGGGCCTTTCTCATGCCACCCTGGGGAGAGCTGAGCATGGGCACAGACCAGCTGCTTGAGACCACCAACAGGATCCCGCGGTCCATGAGACCCCCCACCCTAGCCCTGGGGTGTCTTAGACCATATGGAGCTCCTCCGGGCCAGCTGTCCTCAGGCTGTGGCTGCCTGGCAGGGGGTGGTAGGAGCCAGGCCCTGCCCTGCCTGTGCTTGTTGTTTGGCTCGGGCTGTTTTTAGCTCAGTTGTTTGTGCTGGTGAGAGGCAGCAATTGTGGCCAGGCCTTGTGGGTGAGGCAGCCCCTTGCCCGCTGCTGCCTCCCATACAGGGAGCAGCTTCAGTGATTCCCAGCAGGCCCTGCCTCCAGCTGGGGCCCTCTGTCCGTGCACCTGTTGCAGGCCACGCTCTGCCCCCTTGCCCCTCCCTCCTCTAGTTTCATCACCCAGGAGGCTCCCTGTCCCCGACCGAACACTTGGCTCAGGCCAGAGCCTGAAAAGCCTCCTTACCTGGGGCCCAACGGCATTGGAGACCCTCTCAGAAAAATAGCCACGCAGGCGCTGAGGATGGCATACCACCCCGACGTCCTCTGAGTGGCTGCAGTCACTGACGCCCCAGCCATTAGACCAGCACTGGTCCAGGGAGCTTTCTGTGCCCACACAGCGCACATTGTCTAGCCAGATGGGTCCTGTGGGGGAGGGGACAGGCGATGCTCAGGGGCCACACATGTCACATACATACACTCACACATGCGTGGGCACAGAAAGGCAGGTCACAGACTCTGCCTCCTGGATGGGACCCCACAGTTATCAACGTCCCTCTTAAACCCTGAGTAGAAAATGGGGGCGGGGGGTGGTGTAGAGAGAAGAGAAGAGTTGCTTCTCCTGGGATCTTGGTATCTACAATGCTGCCTATTGCCTCCTCTTGGCGGCAGGTCCTATAGAATCTTTTTAGAAAATGCCATGGAGATCTAGTAATTAGACTAATCTGTTCACCGATTCATCCAACCATTTGTTCATTCAACAACATTTGCACCCATGTGTGTCAATCACTGTTCAAGGAAGTGAGAGTTGAGTGGTGGTCATGGTGGTGGCCTCATTGTAAGCAAGAATGGGAGGGTGGGAGCAGAGGTCATTTGCAGCCGGGGCACTCAGGAAATGCTTCATGGAGGAGGTCATTTAAGCTGGGTATTGAAGGACAGGCAGGAATGTGATGTGTTCTGGTGGAGCCTCGCTGAGCCCAGCCCCCGAGGGAAGCCCACCACCATTTCCTTGTCATCCTGCTGGGCAATAGCAGTCACTCACCCTCCCCTGGGCCATACTTGGCACTGTGGGCCCAGGTCAGGGCTGCCTCGAAGCCCAGCTGGCGACAGGCTACTGTGGCCTCCTGGAGAGCGAAGTTGTCATCACACACAGTACCCCACTGGCCCTGGTGCAGCACCTCCAGGCGGCCCTCCTCTGGCCTGCTTCCTGGGCCCACCAGCCGTAGCTTCGCGGTGCCCAGTGACTGTAGCCTGCTGGGAGGGGCCTGGCTCAGCAGCAGGAGCAGGGGGAGGGTGACTGGTGGAGACCACATCATGGTGACTTCAAGGGCAGCTGAGGCCAGGGCACCTGGGGAATGAGTAAACGTGACAGTGATCACCACCTCTACCCCTGCCCTCAGGCCTCTTCTAGCAGAGACAAAGCATGGCAGGCCCGACTATGTGTGGGAGGTAGGGCGGGGGTGGCGGCGGCACTGGTTGAGTCTCGGCTCTGAGGTTAGTCCATTTGGTTCAAACTCACCATTTGTTGGCCATATGAACTTGAGGAAGTTTAAGTTTAACCTTACTGCATCTTAATCTCCTCACCTGCGAAGTAGGGATAATAATTCCTGTCTTGCAGTGGTGTTGCATTAAAGAAAACACTATATGTAAAGTGTGTAGCACAAGCCTCAATAAATAGCTGTTCTTGATATAGTCTTAGATGTGAGGTAGAGGAGGTGGCCTACCTGTGAGTCATGGGGGAGCCCCCAGGGGTGCCCTGAGGGCCAGCATATCTACCCCAGGGGCACTGCCCTCACTTGCCTTTTGCTGTTCCCAGCACCCTGGCCGCCCTCACCACAGAAGGCTGGTGGAAATGCTGGCACAGAAGGGCCATTTGAGGGAAGCTAAGGCCTCTTCCACTCATTTGCTGTGTGGTTTGAACTCCGTGGGCCCTCATTTCTTATTTCTGAAATGAGGAGGATGCACCAAATATTGTCTAATATCTCTTCCAGCTCAGATAGTCTATGATATCCTCAAGCCCTAGCTCTGGGTCCATCTGGGTGCATGATTCATACACTGATGCCATAAACATTTCTGGAACACTTGCTTCAGGCCGATTATTAGGCCAGGTGTTGGGACACGGAAGTGAAGCCATTAAACACTATTCCCTGCTCTCATGAAGCCCAGGGAAGAGGAATCAGGGAAGGCTTTCAGAGACAGGATGCTTAGCCTGGGTCTTGTCCGATGAATAAGAGTTCTCCTGGGTGGGGAAAGGGGCGTTCCAGGTGGAGAGAACAGAATGGAGAAAAGAGGAGAGGGAAAGCGGTGAGTGTGCAAAAGCAGGAAGTGCCCTCTTAACTCCATCTGCAGTGTTGGGGACGTGAAGGGGATGGGGTGGAGGGCCAGGCTGGGGCTAGATGATCCAGGGATCTTGTGCACCATGCAGAGAGTTTGGCCATCTTGTAGGAAGCTAGGGGCCCTGGGAGCATTTTTGGTGGTGACAGTACACCGGAGAGAGGGCTCCTGTCTCCAGGAGGCTGTACTCAGGTGCTCTTTGAGTCCTTAGAGGGCATGAAGTTTGGGGCTGGTCCTCTCTCCCTCATACATTAGCAGCCTTGGTCCTGGGACTAGGGTCAGGGGGGAGCACAGCGGAGAAGGTTATAGCTGATTAGAGCTGTCACAGTGTCTGCAGCACCAGTGCCAATGTTCCTCCATCGCCAGGCTCTGTTGCTGATGTGGAGCTGAGGCGGCCTGGAGCAGTGGGTGGAGGAAGTGGGGTCCCTGGCTCCCTGTTCAGTGTTTGTGTCATAAGAGAGAATCTTCTGGGGACACCCCCTCTTCCGTGGTCACTGCTGCCCTTGGACGATTAGGTAGCTGGTCAGTTTTGGTAGGGACGGTCTCATGGGGGTCTCCTGCCACTCCTGTCCCCCATAGGCTGGCATTTGGCTGAGAATCACTCCTTATTCCTTCCTCACCCAGCCCCACCCACTTCCACTGCCAGTCCTCCTGCTTTGGCCAGCCAGGGGCTGCGTCGAGCGGGCTCCCAGAAGTGCTCTGAATGGGCTCAGGGGTGAAGCTCCACTGTACCCAGAATAGAGCCAGGTATGTAGGTGGCACCCTGTAAATATCCATGGTTGCATGGATTTGAGGTGGCATAGCACCGAGTTTATGTGTACAAACTGGGGGTCAGACTACCTGGGTTCACAGTCCCCTTCCACCAATTAGTTTCTGGGGGATCTTAGGCAAGTGATTTCATTTCTCAATGCCATAGTTTCCCCTCTGTAAAATGGGGGTGATAATAGAACCCACCTCGTAGGATTCTTGTGAAAGTTAAATGAATACATGTTAAACCCCTAGAAAAGCAAGCTCTCAATTGACAGTGAACTATTAGTAACAGCAACTGTAACAGCTACTATAGAACCATTGGTCTAGGTTGGTCCCAGCCCCTCTTTGGATAAAGAAGGAATGGAGGCCACATCCTAGCTCAACAGTAAGTCCCTGGGACCCTTCTTTGTGACATTCTCCAGCTTTGCCTCTCTTCCTTCTGAACCCAGGTTCTCATCTCTCTATTTCCTCAGGCTGTGTGTTGCCTCCTCCCCTTTCTCACTGCTGAAGTCTCTTCCTGCCCTGACCCCTCCTGCACTTCCAGACTTAAATACTGTTTTCTTCACGCCCTTCCCCCCTTGGGAGCCTTTGGGGGCTCCCGGCTGTCTGTCACCAGAAGGAGGGTCTCTGCTGCTTGGGATGACCCCATTCCCTCCTCCATCACCCCTAAGGAGAAGTTAGACAGCTAGGTTCGGAGCCAAACGGAAGTCCCGGAGGGTAGGAACCTTCTACAGATGACAAGAGAGGATGGAAGGATTGGGCTCAAGGCCCTCCAGCTGTTAGGACTCAGTGGCCGCTTGGGTCTGGCCTGAGAGATGACCCTGCTCCTCATTTCCAGGAGTCAGGATGCTCCTACCTCTGCCACCAAATTGTTGTATGACTTAAGTCACGTGTTCTCCTCTCTCTGAGAGGAGGTGGCCCTAGGGGGTCCCTATATCTATGACATGCTCTGATGAGCCGTGAGGTGGGCTAGGCAGATCTGCCTTTGCTGACATCCCCACAGCACCATGGAGGTCTTATTAGAGGCTGTGGACAGTCCTGGGCCAACAGGCTCCCTCCCCTCCAAGGGCCTCCCTGGAGGCAGGGGTGAGCTCCTGTAGTAAGACCCTGGGCGCTAGGCTGCCCAGGAGGTGAATGGGCCACAGTGGGAACTGAGAGTCAGGTACAGGGGAGCCCCTCTCCCAGCCCTCCTGCCCGCTGCACGTCCCTCTACAGCTTTTGCTCACACCAAACTTGTCTCCTCACATTCCCCAGCATATCCTTCCATTCCCAGCCTCCGTGCCTTTGCTCTCACTCACTGTTCCTTCTACGTGGAGTATCCTTCCCCTTTATTTCAGATTGTTAAGTTCCTACACATCTCTCAACCCCCAGCTCAAATGCTACCCCCTCCACGAAACCCTCCGAGGTCCCCTCCTTCCTAGCACTTGGTGTGTTTACTTCCTGTCTCTATCACCAATCTCCACAGTGTCCCCATAACTGGCCCCCCAGCGCTGAGCACAGAGAAGAGGACCAGGCTGAGGAGCCCCCCACAGAGAAGGAAACAGCCTCAAAGTGGCAGCTCTTTTCCCAAGTGCAGGAGAGGGGGAAGGATGCAGGGGGGTAATAATAATTATCATAGAATATAAAAATATTTATTGAATGCTTATCTCCACTTTACAGATGAGAAGATGAGACCCAGAGAAACTAGGTAACTAGTTTAGCTAGGATTCAAACCCAGGCAGCCTGGCTCCAGAAACCAGGCTGTCGGCCACGAGAGGTGGAGGTTGGGGGT